TATTTATTTAACTTATATGCCGCCCACACTACCCGAAGGTCTCTGGGCGGCTTACAACATTTAAAATACAATAAAAAGGCAAAATAATTAAAATGCAATTAAAATATATATACGTAATGTAAAAATTGCCATGAGATCCACAGCTGGTATTATTTCAATTAAAAGCCTTCTGGAACAGGAAGGTTTTGACCTGGTGCTGAAATGCCATCAGCGTCGGTGCCAGACGAATCTCAGTCGGGAGGGCATTCCATAGTCTGGGGGCAGCTGCCGAAAAGGCCCTTTCTCTACAAGCCCTCCCTCTTATCTCCTTAAGGGATGGCTCTTTCAAAATTATACATATATAATTCTTCACAACCTCTGAACTTTAGAAAAGGGCCCAACTTGTCCTTTTCCTGATGACCAGAATAAACACTGAGGTTTTCTGGACAGAAAGGGAACTCCCACCACATACTCTTTAGTTACAAGAGGTACCTGCTCTCTCTGAGTTTGCAATTCCAGCCAGAAATATGTTGAGGAACCATTCCAATGAATACTGGTACATGGGGTCAACATTAGCTAGGTCTGAGACACAGAAGAAAAGGATCTGGGTGCGGACAGCCACAGGCACATACTCCAATCGGGTGATATCAATATCCTTCTCGGTCTGCTCAGCTATCTTTACTTTGGCCTGTAGAAAATATAAAATCAAACTAGATTGCAAAATTCTGTATCTTCCCATGAAAAGCAGTGCAGATCAGATTAGGATGCAAATCAGTCGCCAACCTGAATTTCCCCTGCTTTTAGCTTGGATGCCTCCAATACTTTGATAAGCTCCAAATCATCAACAGGGTTCCCCTCGGAGGAGCTCAAGCGATACAGGATCTGATCTTCTATTTCCTTCAGTTCCTGTTGCATCTTGGCATTACTGATGATCAACTGATTCTTAGCCTCTTCTAAGTCAGGCCGCTCTTCAGCCACAACTTGACCTAGCAACTGGTCCTCTAAGCCACTGTAAAAATAAACCAAGCAAACAAGCTTTATACACTTTTAAGTTACTTTTGACTTTTCACAGTTGCAAAACCACACATCTAGCAGGCTCGGGGAAAATAGTGATGGGGCTAAGAGCTGACATAATTAAAGAAGAAGAAAAAGGAGACATGGCAAATGGAAAACATCAAAAACAAAAAGCACACCTTAGCTGCACAATCAAAATCTCAAATCAGTGTTTTATTATATTCAAGTTCCATAGTTCACAAAGAGAACAGAGGTCAAAGTTTGACATGGGATACTAGTAGAAGAGTTTTGAATACTGATGTTACCTGGGCGATAGGGTGAAATTAATTAGTGTCAACTTGGTGGATATCTCCGGTGTATAGTGAGGATTAGGTAGGTTGGTGGTGATGTACAATTTGAAGTCATCGTGATATGGAATCACTGTGTCTCCCAGCTTTAATACTGTACTTCCTTGCTGTTTGTAAGTCTGCACATCAAGGAAAGAAGATGTATACAGATACAGTTTTGGAAGAAGATTCCATGCCTACCTCTTGCCCAAAGTTTCTCAACTCTAATTTGCAACTTCCTGGCTGTGATCTGCACATGAGCTGTAGCAGCCAGGCTTTAAAGAGGAAAAAAAATTGAGAAGGAACATAGTTTTGTCCTAGTTCTAGCACTAGCATAGTTCTTTGGGTCATCTGGTATAGGCAAAAGAAAGCTGGTTGTCTATGTCTATTAATCTCATAACGCACATGCCACGGCTTCAAAATATTACTTAGAGAAGCAATGAGTTATTCATTTGTCACTTTTTATAAGCACAATGCACAATCCATTAGCTACAATAATGAGTAATCTAATGTATTGTTAATGCATTTCTATGTGCTTTTATTGCTTTATTTCACACACAAAAAATCCCCATTAAAACAGCCACATCTTCCAGAATTAACCTTTCCAAACTAACAAGCAATTGTTATTCATGTAATTCATTGTGGAAATACTAACATGTTTTGAACCACGAAAATGTTTGAAAGTAATGATGCCAAGCCTCATCAGCTACTGCTCCCCAAGTAGCAAGCAACAACACTGATTTTAAGACATTAGTCCTAAATTTTGAAAATCACCCACCCACACCCATAAGAGAAGGCACCTGTTTCAGCAAGACAGGTTCAAGAGCAGGGTCTAATTCTTCTCCAACATTTTCCAGGAGAAATGGCTTTCCGAAACGAATAGCATTTTCCAAGCTGCGCAAGAAATCCCGGTCGCTTAGTTTAGAAGTATCTAACCCGGTATCTTTTTCCTTAAAAAAAAAAAGGTGATAACAGGGAGTCTGTGTTGTGTGAACCATCTCCTCTCTCTCTCCCCCCCCTCTCTGTTTGTTATCTATGCATTAACCATACAGTTTGCTAATTGACATAACATGGCAGCCTCCCTATTGTGAAGTTCACCCACAATGAAGTCAATATGAAGTTCTGAGGAGCCAGTTCAGCTGTTAAAAACAATGATGAGGAATGCTTGTATGGTAAGCAAAGTAGTCACTGTCACTCTTGACTCCCCCCCATGATTTTAGTTCAGTGCTTTCCTGTGCTTTATGCTGCTTTTACAAAGTCAAAAGTGTTCAAAAGTGAATTCTTGTCCGTCTATTTTATAATTCTAAAACAAGAAAAATCTGCATGTGGGGGGCACCTGAAGAACATAGGGGAGAAAATCAACAGACAACTTAATTAAAAAACAACAACTACCATAACTGAAGGCCAAACCTGTCGTCTTTTATAGTTGCATTTAAAAGCTGGGAATTTGGGTAGAGATAGATAATAAGCTCATACATGAGGTTGCCATAAGTTGGAGGTGACCTGATTGCACATAATAATACCACACAGCAGGAAAGTGCTTTTAACATCATCGGCCAAAACATTTCCCCTGCGCTAATGAATTTGGTTGATAACTTGTCAGATGCAGAATTTACTTACCAAGTTTTTAATCCATTTGTTGGCTTGTCCTTGAGGGTCTATGAAAAGAGTCCAGCGCTGAGAAAACTGAGTTATCATTCCGTTCTCCACAGACAAGGTATCATTGGGCAGACCAGCGATCTATACAAGAAGGAAAAACATGTTTTTTTTTTTAAAAAAAAAAAACAGAAATGCAGAGTTCTGCATTTTCTGTCCTAAGCAAAAATGCAATAGGAGGAACACAGATTCTGTATCAGGAACATTTATAACTTGGTAATATCTGCAAATCATGTAAGCCACGCAATTATGCACTATTTCTTTTATTCTGAATGATTTAGACTGCTCTGCTAGTTGCAGGAAGCATAATGGGATACATATAACAATTTTCAGTCCATGGTATGATTATCAGTTTATTCACAGCAACAATCTTGTTGAAGTTTGCTTACAACTGAATTATAATTGGGTGGGTGCACATAGCTTTATTTAAGGGACTTAAGATATTGCCTCCATGCAACCCACTCCCATGACATCCAAAGCTGAACATTTATTATGTAAGTTTTAGTACTGCCATAGTATTTAGAGAGCATTGGTCCTGTTTCTCCAAAAATGTTATTCTCTGGGGTGCACTTTTTCCTTCTTTAAAAGAAGTATGACTATTCCAAGTACAAACGGGTATTAGCATGTATAAGCAGTGGTGTGGCGTGACAGATAAGAGTACTGAGCTAGGATTCCCTGCTCAGCCACAGGAACTCACTGGGGATGGCGCTGGTGAAGCACTCTTTAAATATCTTGCATACCTTTATAAAACTCTTTAAGGGTCACCATAAGTCAGATGTGACTTGATGACACGTAACATACACATACATTACCTGCCATGATCGGATTTTCACAGGGTCGCCTAAGGTTGCAATCAGACTTGGTTCCTTAGTGTGTGGAACATTGTGTGCTTCTAGCCGACTGACCCATTCCTCGCAAAGTGATATGCGATAATGTCCCTGCAGAGGAAAAGTAGTTATCCTAAATATCTTAATATTTAAAAAGGATTAATATGAAGTTAAATCAAAGTATTCTCCAACTATTTATGTCTAACTCCACCTTCCTGTCTGAACATTAGACCTTAATGATGATGGTAAGCCCACATACTGAGCTTTTTAGTCAAGTCTCCTTGGGGGGGGGGTCCCCTACTTGGATTCACATGGTGAAGGGGTTTGAATGTGTCACTGAAGCTGAGGACAATACTGTCAGGAGGCCAGATCCCATTGTGAGTCAGGATTCCTAGCAGGTCATCCAAGACAGAATTGGTCACAACTGTGAGCCACCAGAGTAAGATGCATCCACCTGCTTCAAGGTGGCTACTGGGCGGCAGCAGTAGCTGAAGGTGACATGGTAAGGAGCCAGTGGAGGTGACACTCAAGGTAACTTTTGTTAGTCCTACACAGAAGGTGATACCGTACTTTTCTTACCATGAAAACCAAGTGATGAAAAAGTCCAAAATGAAACAAGATAGTGCTGGAAGATGTAAAGCATGCAATCAACTACTGGGGAAGAACAAAGGTCAAATATGAATGACTCTGTCGCTAATGATGCTACTAGACTGAAGCTGAAAGAACGTCCAGTAGCTGAAGGGCACAGAAGTGAAAGAAATGTCCAGTGTTGCACAATGCATACAGTTGGACACAGAATGTAAGAACTATGAATCAAGGTAATCTGGAAACTGTAAAGCAAAAAAACAGAACATATAAACAGTGCAGTGTTTTGATGTCATTGAACTAAAGTAGATTGGAAAGAGATACTTGCAGTCAGACAACTACACAGTATTCTACTTTGAAAATGACAAATCCAGAAGAAATGGAGTGGCTCTAATACTGAGGCAAGATGTAGTGTAAACAGTTAGGGGCTATAATGCAAGATCTGACTGAAGAATATCCATCGACTCTGTGGAAAACCTATCAACCTAACTATTATTCAAGTCTATGCTCCAACTAACAGTACTGAATATTTGCATTAACTAAACTTGCTTGACTGTGAGCCAGAAGAACTGCAGATTGAAACCAGAGATATTTTAGAGAAGAATGCAATAAGACAATTCCTGCAATTAAAAAAAGAGAAAAAACCAGGACAGATGGAAGAAATACTTAAATTTGTAAAGAACAGGTAAGAAGCCCAGTGGAGAAGGAGGGAGAACTGGCAACAAGGACTGTGAGAAAGAACACACACCAGTGAGTGATGGCAATTGCAAACTCCACAGACACAATTTACACTGACAGAGGCATTCTGATATGCCAAACAATTCAAACTAAATCAATTTCACAAGCGTGTAAAAAAACTAACCCTAGTGCTGCCCAGTAAAATATCTTGCTTTTCAACCAAAAACACGTTTCCTGGGGGGGGGGGGGTA